CCTGAGTAATCAAATGAGGAGAAATGTCCCTTCATAAAAGTATTCTAAGTAATAAATTTTAAAAGGATGATGCAGTTAAAATATCACCATTTTGCAAACCCCTAAGAGTTGTTGAATCTAGCCATTAAGGATTAAAAGCTGCTAGCATCACATTATGTGCCTCCTATTAAAAGAAGAAAATAAAGCCTGTTCTCTTGCCAAAGGCACTGAACTTCAGACTATCCAGCCTCTGGATCTAGCTGCCAATTTCCAGAAAATATAAAGTCAGGGAAGCACATTGAACTTCCCTACAAGAATGTAATCAGCAAAATTTGCACTGTGAGAAATTGACAAAGCAAATGATCTGGCCTTAACAGATAAGCTGTAAGGAAAAGAAAGAGATAAAGGAAATTTCTGTAGTTTTTTTGTTTATTGGTTTCTTATCATTTGTTTTGCAGTGAGTGCTGGGGATCAAACCCAAGGCCTTACTGCATACAAGGCACTCATTCTGCCACTGAGCTACATCCCCAGCCCCAAATTCCTGTAGCTTAAAAGGAATTTTTAAAAACATACCAAATCTTATTTAAATACAAAAAGCAAGCATCATTTTCACAAATATACCACATATGGGTAACATAACATTAGGATAAAAAGCAACTGGGTAAGGGATATATGGAAGCTGTCTGTACTATCCTTTGAAAACTGTCTATAAATCTAAAATTTTCCCAAAAGATGATTTAATAAAAAGGTGAGGATGGCCATATTTTTTTAAAAAAAGAACAATAATAAGTGTTAGCAAAGACACAGAGAAATTGTAACCCTCATATTCAGCTTGTAGGAATGTGAAAATAATGGAAACACTTTGGAAAACAGTATGACAGTTCCTCAAAAGATTAAACAGAGCTACCATATGATCCACAGTTACAATTCCTAGGTATACACCCCAAAAGAAATGAAAACATTTATCTATATAAAAACATGTACACAAATGTTCACAGCAGCATTATTCTTTTTTTAATATTTATTTTTTACTTATAGGTGGACACATATCTTTATTTTCTTTTTTAATGCGGTGCGAGGATTGAACCCAGAGCCTCATACATGCTAGGCAAGTGCGCTACCTCTGAGCCACAACCCCAGCCCCAGCATTATTTTTAACAGCAAAAAAATGGAGATCAAAGCCAAATGTTCATTAATTGATGAATGGGTAGATGACATGTGATATATCCACCAATGGAAAATTATTCAGCTATAAAGAGAAATGGAGTACAACATGGGTGAACCTTGAAAAGTATAAATGAAAGAAGGCAGTCTCAAAGGACCATATATTGTATAGTTTCATTTACATGAAACATCCAGAATAGGCAAATCCACAGAGAATAATAGTACATAAGTAGTTGCTTAGACCTGGAGAGGTTGGAAAGAAATGGAAAGCAACTGTTAATAAATATAAGGCTTAAAGACTGGGGATGTAGCTCAGTGATAGAGCACTTGCCTAGCATACTGAAGGCCCTGGGTTCAATAATTCCTAGTACCACAAAAAACAAACAAAAACAACAACATAAAAAACAGATACAGGATTTTTTTTTTTTTTTTTTTTTTTTTAGAGAGAGTGAGAGAGAGAGGGGGACAGAGAGAGAGAGAGAATTTTAATATTTATTTACTTTTTCTTAGTTCTCGGCGGACACAACATCTTTGTTGGTATGTGGTGCTGAGGATCGAACCCGGGCCGCACGCATGCCAGGCGAGCGCGCTACCGCTTGAGCCACATCCTCAGCCCCAGATACAGGATTTCTTTTGGGTGTGATAAATATGGTCTAAAATTATTGTGGTTATGGTTGCACAACTCTATGAATATAATAAAGATGACTGAATTGAACACTTTAAATGTGTGAAATATATGGTATGCAAATTATATCTTTAAAAAGCTGTCATTAAAAAGGTTACATTCAACTAAATGAATGTATACATGAATGATAAAACTATTAGAAAATGCAAGGAATTGATTACAATAAAAGTCAACACTATGGTTAGTTTTGGGAGAAGGAATGGGTTACAAAGGGTTTCCTAGGGTAGCTAGCAAAATTCAAGTTTTGATTTTATGGTACAACTGTACATTTGTTATATGAGGTTTTCTGTCTGGTTTTGTTTGTTTATTACAATTATAACTTTTTTAAGAAAAGACTCACTGACAAACTTGTTTCAAACACAATGTGAAATAGAATCCAACCTTATCCTGTGCAAAGCACCAAGTTTGGCTATGTGGACTATAACAGATACTCAGAAAACTAGGCATGGAACCAGGTATACCACTCCTCATTATTTATCCTAAAGAATTAAAGTCAGCATACATCCACACCCATGTTTATAGCAGCATAATTCACAATAGCCAAAATATGGAACCAGCCTAGGTGTCCATAATGAATGATTGGATAGAGAAAATGTAGTGTATGTACACAATGTGGTTTTATTCAGCCATAAAGAATGAAATTATATCATTTGTAGGACAGTGAAACTTGAGAACACTGCTAAGCAAAATAAACCAAACTCAGAAAGTGAAGGGGCATATATTTTCTCTCACATGTGGAAGCTAGAAAGGAAAAAGGAAAAGAAAGGTATGTGGGGGAACCTCATGAAAATCAAAGGGTGATCAATAAAGTAGAGGAAAGGGATCAGAAAAGGGAAAAAGGGAGAGTAAGGGAAAAACACTGAGGAATGATGTGAAATGATCGTTATATTGTGTGCATGTACAAATATGTAATAACAAATCCCACTATTATGTGCAACTATAATGCACCAATTAAAAATATGGAAAAATACAACAGATTATGCCTGTCCTCAAGGAACACATCTTTTAGAAAGAAGTTAAAAAAGAAAGAGAGAGTGAAAGAAGGCTAGAGAAAGAGTAAAACTATGTTAGTGTTAACTGACATAACACTGGCAGATAAAACAGAAGATTTAGGGAAAGGATACAATTTAAGAGCAAGGGATAGTGCTAGAGAATATATCAGAAAAGGGTTTTGCCAGGCTTGTCTTGCACATTCTATAAGATCAATAATTGCACATGCCTGCAATTCCAGATACTTGGGAGACTGAGGGAGAATGATGACATGTTCGTAGACAGCTTGGGCAGTTTAGTGAAACCCTATCTGGCTGGGATGTAGTTCAGTGGTGGAGTGCCCTTGTGTTCAATCCACAGTACTAAGAAGAAAACAAAAACAAAGCGTGGTGGTGCACACCTGTAGTCCCAGCAATTCGGGAGGCAGGAGGATGGCAAATTCAAAGCTAGCCTCAGCAACCTATGGAAGCCCTAAGCAACTTAGTGAGACCCTATCTCAAAATAAAAAATAAAGTTGGTTGGGGATGTGGTTTAGTGGTTAAGTGTCCCTGGGTTCAATCCCTAGTACATATATTAAAAAAAAAAAAAAAGACATAGATCTTACAAAGGCTATATTATACCTAGGGACAAAAAGAATTGGGGGAAAAAGTTCATAATATTCTGTATAAGATTAGCTAACATCTATTGAGCATTTTATATATTTTAATTCTTTTAGTATATCAAATCATTTAATTCTCACAACAAACCTATGAAGGAGGTCCTATTATTATTATCACTTCACAGATGAGGCATAGAGATGGTTTTGTGCAGGGCCTCAGTGACAGGTACAATTGAAAACTTACTCTGGGCCTGGATACCCCTCTAATCCCAGAGACTCAGGAGGCTGAGACAGGAGGATCCCAACTTTGAGGCCAGCCTCAGCAATTTAGCAAAACCCTGTCTCAAAATTTTTAAAAATTTTTAAAAATGAATGGGAATACAGCTCAGGGATAATGTTCACCTAGGTTCAAACACCAGTACCAAAAAAAGAAGAAGAAAGTACTGGGGGAGCATGCATTGTGAATCTAGACCACCTAGGTTAGAATCTGGGCAACTTAACCAGCTATGTGACTTCAAGTATTATTTTACCTCTGTGCCTCAGAGTGCTCTTATTTCAACTGAGAATGGGTTGGGTGTAGTGCCGCATGCCTGTGATCCCATCAATTCAGGAGGCAGGAGGATCACAAGTTCAAAACCAGCTGCAGCAATTTAGTGAAGCCCTCAGCAACTTAGTGAGACCCTGTCTCAAAATAAAAAATAAAAAAGGGATGGGGTGTAGCTCAGTGGTAGAGTGACTGCCTGACATGTGCAAGGCTCTGGGTTCAATCCAAAGCACCAGCTGGGTGTAGTGGCACACATCTGTAATTCCAACTATTCTGGAGGCTGAGGCAAGAGGATTGAAAGTTTGAGGCCAGCCCAAATGATTTAATGAGACCCTGTCTCAAAATAAAAAAGGCTGGGATTATAGCTCAGTGGTAGAGCACTTGCCTAGCATGAGTGGGGCCCTGGATTCCATTCCACTGCCAATATTAGATATTACCATAACAGAATAATAGTTTCCAGGAAAAGTGTATGAGAATTATCCCTGCAATTCTATTAAATAAAGTATTAAATTGTATACCATTGCCCCTTTATGTTCTTCAAGACTGATTATTTGTATTTTAGATAGTTATTTTACATTAGACTGAGACCATGCTCCTTTTTGAGTCATTGAGAACAGTACAATTTAAAAATTACTATTTGCCAGTCTTTGCAAAGAGGGTGCCATTTTTCCAGGAAACAGGAAACTTGGCAGATCCTATTATAACACTGGCAGAGGGAGGTAAATGATTTAAAACCTTTGCAAAATGTAGAGACCAAAGATAAACAGAGGGGGCAGATCTCCAAAGGTATGGCTCAGCTTAAAGCAAGCATGGATATACCCTAAGACGTCTGCCTCTGTCTCCTGGTGCTGTAGCTATTTGACCAGAGGTTAAGCACAACAGCAGCTGCCAGCAGTACAGGTGCTCATAGGATCTTTGTTACCTTTAGAAGTGTCCCTCTTCTTTGCCCCAATCTAGATCCAGAGGGCAGAGAATATCAGTATTAGGGGCAAAAAAGAGATGCCTGGGAAAGGCCAGGCAGATTCCCAAAATATACATACTTTCCATAAGAAGTATCTTTTAATACTAGTTCTGGAGCTCTATACCAGCGTGTGGCCACATAGTCTGTATAAATGTCCCCAGGAGCTGCTAGTGTTCGTGCAAAACCAAAATCACAGAGCTTAGTAATTCCTGACTGTGATACTAAAATATTCTCAGGTTTTATATCTCGGTGAATAATCTAAAAAACAAACAGAAGATGAAATATATTAAAATAAGGTTTTATTTTCTAGAAAATCTCTCAAAAATTACACTGAGAAAATCTAGTTAAGACAATGAATTTATTTCCTTAGCACATGTAAAAATATTTACATATTTTCAATTCTTACCTATCCATCACTTGAAAATTAAATAAAACCTGCCTAGCATGGTATTTTATGCCTGTAATCTTAGCTACTTGGGAGGCTGAAGCAGGAGCATTACAAGTTCAAAGCCAGCCTCTGCAACTTAGTGAGATCCTGTCTCAAAATAAAAAATAAAAAGAGTTAGGAATGTAGCTCAGTGGTAGAGTACACCTAGGTTCAATTCCCAGTACCAAAAATAAAGAAAGAGAGAGAGAAAGAGAGAGAGAGAGAGAGAGAGAGAGA